TATATATATATATATATATATATATATATATATATATAGGGCTTTGAAGGGGAGTGGCTGTCTTGTAGTTAGGGCATAGGGCTTTGAATTCACTCCCACAGACTGTCACTCTGGGTCCCTGAGCAAGACCTTTAACCCCACACTGCTCCCTGGGCACCGCACAATGGCAGCCCACTGCTCCCCAAGGGGATGGGTTAAATGCAGAGAAGTAATTTTCCTCTGGTATAATTAGAGTTTATAAAATAAAAATAAAAAAATAAAAAAATATAGATATATATATCCATCTATCCACTTTGAGTCACGCTTATCCCAAATGGGTTTGGGAGGGGTGCTGGTGCTTATCTCCAGCTTTCTATGGGCGAGAGGCGGGGTACACCCTGGACTGGTCGCCAGTCCATCACAGGGAAATACAGAGACAAACAGGACAAACAATTATTCACGCACACACTCACACCTAAGGACAATTTCGAGAAGCCAATCAACCTAACAGTCATGTTTTTGGACTGTGGGAGGAAGCCAGAGTAACCGGAGAGAACCCACACATGCTAGGCGGGAACATGCATACTGCATGCAGAAAGACCCCGGACTGGAATAAAACTTGGAACCTTCTTAGCAGTGCTACCCACTGTGCAGCCTATATATACATATACATCATATACATATCTTATCCCCTTTCTTTGTCATGTCCTTGTATACTATTTTACTCCCTAAATTATTTTCAATAAAGATTTATATATATATTTGTTCCAGATAAGTGGAGCGTAGGAACTAAATGCTGCTTCTCCATGTTTAGTTCTGGTTCTAGGTATGCAGAGCAGGCTGGAGCCAGAAGACCTGAGTGGTCTGGAGGGTTGATACACTGATAGCAAGTCTGCGATATATATGGGTGCTAAGCCATTCAGGGATTTATAGACTAACAGAAGTATTTTAAAGTCTATTCTCTGAGATACAGGGAGCGAGTGTAAGGACTTTTAGAACTGGGGTGATGTGGTAACGAGGTATAACTTCTGATTTCCTTCATTTTAGATATGATTAGCCTATCCATGTTATGTCAAATTTATGTCTGAGTTTTCATTGGTCATTGGTCATTTCCATTTTTGTGTTGTAGTTATTGTTGATTGTATTTGATTTCTTAGATATTTCTTGTCTTGTGTCAGTGTCCTTTTCCCTAGCTCCCTTCTGGCCGCCTGTTAACACCTGCTCCCAATCTGGTAATTAGCCTGGTCTGTATTTCTCTCTCCCATATAATCTCCCCCTGTTGAGTCATTCTTTGCTGGTTTGTCGTCATTTCTTTGCCCCCTTTAGGTTGTGAGTATTCCTGGTTTTCAACATTCTGGGATTTTTGTGGATTTACGTTTTTGGATTTTTGCTTCTGTTTAACTTTTTGGATAACAAATCTTCAAGTAACCTCCTTCAGTTTCAGTCTGCATTTGGGTCCTGTCAAACTCCCATCCCACTTGACAGTTACAGGGATACGTACCTCAGGCTCTTATGGTAGCTGTAATTAACCTTCCTTTAAGAAACCATCTGTTGACTTCTCTGGT